TTACCGGCCTGTTGGGAACAACGTGCTTCTGATAGTCATGGTCGCCGCGGCAACCACACCCTACTCCTCCTCTTGAACAGCATTTTCGTGTCCGTGGGTGGTCGTGCGAGTTTCCTCCGTTGCTGCATACAGGGTTCTTCGCCAAACAACGGATAGCGAGTTCGCGGTCTCTGTCACCGAGATCGCGAATGATTCCGGCGGTTGACGATCCGCTTTCGAATTTTCTTCGTACGCCTGAAAGCGAAAGAAATCCAGACCGGCATCGGCCGGATGGTGGGCCAGCTAATATTTTCGAGAGACTTTCGGGAGACGTTCCCCCGGAGGATGTCCTCCCAACGGGAACTAATCCCAGGTTATTAGCCGCGAATGATCCTCATATGGAAATGGCGATGGGCAACATTCACCATGATTCATCGTTATGGCCCTCGCCTTATGAGCTCCCCTCCGGTTTCACGGGATGTTGGAGATCGTGGAGAGTTTTCGAAACCCTCTGATCCTTGGAACAGCATGAAAGTCGATGTCGACGGGCTCGGTGGTATTTCTCCGACGCTGAATGAGTTTTTGAGCCATAGCATCTGTCGACGAGACGCCTCCGGACGGACATGTTGATCAGGGACCCTCGCCGAGTGTTGTTTCCCAAACACGTATTGGTTTCTTCGCTCTTGCTCGTATCCGAAAGGTCTATCTCGGGAAAGCTCTCGTCCCGAACAAGAGGCTGCCTGCTGAATATCTCAGACACTGATGCTTGTGGTTTAGATGGTGAGACTGCCCTGAGGCTTAGGGAATGACCGCCTGATTACTATGTAGTGAACGGAAGCGAATTCACCTGCTTCGGCCACGACGAGGGAAAAAGCTCCATTTGCTGAGTAACCAGTAACCAGGCAGTGGGGAGATGCTCAAGAGCCGGGGGCCACATAAGGATTCTGCGTAAATTAGCTTGTGCGATCCCTTCGGTGTCTTGCGCCATCGCAAGATACGAATGTCAGACTCGTATCTCATCGAACATTACGCGAGAATTAGGCCTTTAATTTCAACACAGCAAATCGGCAGCGGAAATGGGAAGTGAGGAGTGACTCACTTTGATTCACGAGGAAAACGTTTGGGTTGGTTCGATAGTTTTTTTCTCGCTGGGGTTCCGTCACAACTTTGACCGCCACCATAATCCGGCTCGCCCGCATCCTCGTGGAGCTATCAATCCGAAGAGGGAGGACTTTCTGGTGGAAAATTCTCGGTGCTCGAAAATGAATTCGGCGAACGGATGGGAGGCATCTCATTCCATCAGGAATCATTCTCCTCGGAAGTCTCTGCGGGGTGAAAAACTTCCGAGGAATTCCCTCTCTGACGTTTTTCAGAGCAGGACTCTCTTCGGCACGCGGTGGTTTCTCTCATCGACACGAGCCGAATCCTGACTCCGCTGTCCTGGTGATTCCACATCCGGAACTCTCGGCATTAAGATAAGGACGGAAGCGAAGGAGAGACGGAGCCCTTCGCGAAGTGGTTGTACCACGAAACTTTTCGACACCGAGATAAGGCTCTTCTCGCCCAAATCGAAAATGAGTAGTCTGCGCGGAACTAAGCTTCCCCAATGAAGCGGATAGGTGCGTTCCAAGTGCATTTGTGCCCTCTGCGGGCATCTTAACCTTATCCATCTAGAAATTCGCATATCACTCCTGATTCCTGATACGTGACATTACGCGCTGAAACCCGGAGACGGCCTCGAATCACACCTCGGGAGCGCTCCCGGTGGTGAAGAGGCTTCCCGACTCGAAACACGGAGCGATGACTCATACGAAACTCCCGGGGCCCAGCGAGAGAGTTGTCTTCTCCGGGAGAAGGGCTTCGACGCCCCGGAGCTCTGCACCCAGAGCATCTCGGCGGTACAACCATGCTGGCAGGTAGATGACTCATATCCGGAGTTGCAGTGGCGGGAGCTTCGAATTTCGCTCTCAGTTCGATGCATTCTCCCAAGACGAAGACGTTTAATGGGATCACGAGGACTTTCGATGTCGTCATAGGAACTTGCATAGGACTAGCCTAATCGCATCAACAGGCTATACGTAAAGACTCTATCGCACCAACTGGATAGCACAGAATGTGGACCGGAACAAGAATTTTCGAATCGGGAGGAGCGCGAACTGGCTACCTAGTGCATTGGAATTATTGAGATTCCGGCGAACGGAGAATAATCAGGGAAGATATGTGATTGAGATAGCTACCGGAGCCTCTGTAGAAATATGCACTATTATTTCGAAACCCGCGAATAGAGAACCCATTGAGCATGTAACAGACTCTTTCCCTCGATTTATCGAGGCTCGCGCGGTATATCATCTCCAATGCCAGCCGAGGAAATTTCTTCGGACGTTCCGGATTGGCTTATCCTAATAACGCGACAGACACGATCTCGGTGGGTTGTGAAGTTGTGAATGAATCAAACGAGCAACAAACCAACCAGCCAAGCAAGTAAGCCAGCCAGTCAGTCAGTCAGTCAGTCAGTCAGTCGCGGGAGTGTTTTCTCTCCTCCGGGGCGATTGCCGTCTATAAAAACCATCTGCGGAACAGTGTGGGCGCATCGAATTCGTATACGCCAGAAATGTCATCGGGACACACGCTCTCTGCTTCGTGAAATCAGAGACACGTTCACGAGTGAGAACCGGCCGCTTTCGACTCTAATGGAGTTTCCGTGGAAAAACATCGCGGCATATGATGTCGAAGCCCAGAACTTGAATTGTTCCTCATGTTCCCGACTGAGCGGACAACAAATGATCGCGAGATAAGAACCGATGGTCTCTTTGAATGCGAACGTTTGTTTCTCGCTAAGCGTAATCTCGGGTCAATCGCCGAGGAAATATTCGATAGTATACGACTTTCTCGCTCGTTTCGAAAGAAATGACGCAACCGTGTTGGACTTGAGTCCAGATTGAACTTGCGATCCGCGGCTCTGATAAGAATAATGAGTATCGTCGGTATCGGAATCCATCGGCGATCTCGCCGGACTCCCCATCTGCTGGCGGCGGCGAATGCCTAATGATCGAGCATTGTCGAAGACTAATTTCGGCTCGTAGTATGCGATAATCAATGCTGTCCGGATTCGACCGAGACCTTGTCCCTCTCGATAGTTTTCAATTTAGTGCTTGTTTGGAGCCGTGAAGGAATCTAAAATGAACTTCACCGGAAACGCATCGACGATCGGCAAAAACAGACGCCTCATGAAACAGCCCTTCGATGGCAAAGGATGAATCGCTCGTCGGGCAGCAATCAAAAGAAAACCGATTTTTCTACGGGTTTGTCGCGTCAGGCGAGACCTCAGAGGAGGCGGTTCTTGTTTCTGTGTTTTTCATTCGGTGAAGAACTCCCTCAAGCAAGCAAGCAAGTCAATCAAGCAAGCATGCAAGCGGCTAGGGCACTGATCGATGACGTATTCGTCGCCCAGGGTTTCCCCCGATCACAGATGATGTTTTCGGGAGTAGATTATCCAGCTCTTGGCCTTTCTACGCGACCGACCGACCGACCGACCGACCGACCGACCGACCGACCGACCGACCGACCGACCGACCGACCGACCGACCGACCGACCGACCGACCGACCGACCGACCGACCGACCGACCGACCGACCGACCGACCGACCGGTCGGTCAGCTCGAGGGCCTTATCGCAGGCCGCGTGGGCGAGCCCTGTCCGACGTGAGACTAGTCTCCGCGCTCATGAGGCTCGACCCCGCCACATCGAGTTATCAGCATGGCCAGCCGAATTATCCCGAATACCGCTCGCTATTCGCAGGTCGCCCAGCGAAAGCATGAGCGCGCCGACACCACCGTAGGATGATTCGTTCGCGTTGCCAGCTTTCGAAAGTGAAACAAACGAACACCATCGGAAGAGGAACACAAACAATCGAATGGATGCCTAGACTTTGCGCCGAGTTCCGTTTGTCTAGCCGAGCTACAAAACCCGACCGATAAAAGCGGCCGGGTTCGCTGTTACACACCAACGGATTCGAGATATTTTTCCCGACTCGTTAGGGAGTCTTCAGGAAGAGGCGATCGGCGGAATACCCTGCTGCCCTGTTCGAGAATTCCGGTCGATCGCGAATTTTCCGGATACTCTCCATTTTCCGAACCTATCCCAGTAGACCCTTGCATTCTCGGACTAGTTCCAAGTTTCCGGGAGCTTTAATGGCCGACTCTGTCTTAATTCGAGAAAGAAATATTGATTGCCTGTCGAGGGCTGCAGAGCAGACGCGCGCGACGCCGACACCCAGAATAGAACTTGAAGCGTGTCCCGGAGCGATCTTTGTGGCCAGCATCCGCGCCACACCCTGCGATGCGACAGTTATTCAAGAAACTCGAGCGAAAGACCACAAAAATCTGTGGTTTCTCCGAGGACTCATTTCACTGTTGCGGTCGGAACGATTCAGATACCACCATTCGGATTGAGGCTCACAAGACTGCTTACGAGGATTCATTCTCATGAACTCCATCATTCAATCATGCGCGGAGATCGTCGCATCCTTTCACGAGATAGCGAGATCTTCTGCGGGCCATACTGGGCCGTCACCCGCGGGTGTGGTTCTGGATCAGCGGAGAGCTTGCGACCAGGAGGATCGTTTTAGGGTACGCGAGATTTCGCGGAAACTCGCCGCCGACGGGAGAGCCTCTCTCGAGCGATCGGACGACGGTCTTCGCTTGCTCATCCAACGCGCATGAGCGCGCTATACATATATAGAAGCGTTTGAGTATTCAATATTTTGGTTCCCCCGATAAAGGTACTCTTCGTGAACCGGCAGACTGATGCCCCAGGGCATTTCGTAGCTCTGTAATTCTGTGTTCAAGACTGAGGTTCCACCGAGCTCCTCCGGTGTGTTTCTTTGTTTGTTCCTCTCGTTCAGGCCCTGCCAAAACGCCGACCGTCTCCGTGATCCAGCTCGCCTGCATTCGTGTGAAGCAATCGATCCTGAAAAGAGAAGACGTTTCCTACTATAACAATGAATTTTCTTTCTTCCTCAGATGTTGGCTCCTGTGAACGAGGATGAAGGTGGAGGGGTAGTCATGACGTCCTTGGTGGCTGGAGGCGCGCCTGAGAGCCTATCGATAGGTGTGTCAGGGGTCTTGAACGTCATGGACGCTTCGGCGTGTTCGGCCCTGCACGACGAAGCGGACGATCTCCAATGGATCACCGATTCCTATCATGACCACGCGAATTCGGCCAAGAGCTGGGATGAAATGATCTTGACACTCTCCCAGTGGAACGACCGGAATCGATCCATGCAAAGGTGCGTGTGGCCCGTGCCTGTCTGGCCGATTTAATCACCGATCTCGGTCTACCACAAGCCAGAATCAATGAGTTCACGACGTGACCAGATCAACCAATCGTATATTGCAGATCGATTTTGAAAATGGACCTGTCTTACGAGGACTTCAGTAAGAATATGGATGTGAACTTGGCTCAAATCGATATGGAAACATTCTGTTCCGAGGATATCAACCACGCAATCCTGAGCCTCCAAGCTCGGGTTGGCGAAGAGTGCGCCAGTCTGTCTGGCTCGCTCATCGACGACCTCCCGATTGACTCTTCTCAGAGGTAAGTGGGACCAGGAAGATCGTACAGCCCTGTTTCCTGACTTTTCGGAGACTGTTTCAAAGCATAGCCGGAGTCTGCTTCCAACGTTTGACCGATGAATTTTCTCTCAGGGTGAACGAAATCTGCCGCAAGACGCCTTTGTTCTCTCCGTTGAAAGAAGCCTCGGTACATTCGGCATCTCACGTTTCGATGGCCGATAGCTTGGACTGCAGCTACCACGGCGATCTGGTGCTCACATGTCAGACAACCAACAAGAATAACTACACATTGGCCTTCGAGCAGAGCCAGATAATACAAACCGATCCATCGGAAGACTCTGAGCTCGGTGGGAGCAGTGAGGCCCAGAGCAACTGGTCGGGCTCGGAAAACGCCAACGAAAAGAGCGATAAGGCGATGATACACAGCGAATTCGCCTACACCACCTGGTCCAGGGTCTCTGGAGACGGCAAGGTCGACAGCGGCAAAAGCCATTCGTTGCCCGATCTGCTGAAGAGGTCCGTGACTCTAGCGAAGACCTGCAACACGCTTTACACGATCAACGACTGTCAGGTGGTGGAGGACAAACGATCGGGAGTTCCTCTGCTGCGGATGTTCATGGATAAAGGTAGAGGAAGTCAAGACGCGATGCAGTGCTCGACGAGTGTGTCTGAGGCGGAGACCAGGGAAGCACCCACAAGCAAGGTCTCGCACGCTCGATCTTCACAAGCGGAAATGGACGGATCAATAACGCTGCCCATGACCACACTTCCCATATTCAACGCCCGAAGCAGCACAGCACCGGAATTCCCTTCTGCTAATGCGGTCACTAACGTTCATCAAGTGAGGTGGGTCGATCGCCGATCTTCTAGCGAGTCCCTCTGGTCGGGAAGTCGGAGGAACAACGTTGTGTTGGAATTCTCAAATATAAAATATCTATTATGTTTATGCGTAGAACTATCTAATAATTATGAATGATGTATCATCGGGATCTGGCGAACGCCGAGCGCAACGAACTCTGTCGTGTAACGCTGTCGATTTATCCTTGCAGAGCTCGACAAAAGCTGGATAACACTCTGAACAACAACAACGTGATGACGCTGGAGGAGTCGACCGCTCTTAGCGAGGAGGATAGCTCGCAGTGCTTCGAAGATAGCCTTGTAGGAATGCTGCAGACGAAGAAAGGACTCTCGCTCGCCTCGCCGATCCGAGAGGAGGATGAACAATGCTCATCCTGCGATGAACCCATGAGGGACGCCAATAATTCGTCCACGAACTCATCGTCAAATTCTTCGGCCAATCAATCCCCGCCTTACGATAAACCACCTCCTAAGATCAACAACTTCGTTGGTTTGCGAGCTTCTCCAGCACGTAAAGAACTGTTGGGTTCAGAATCTAGCGGCTACATTAGCAGGCAAAACTCCAGCGATCAAATAAACAAGAGCCCGAACGCGCAACAGTTTCTACTGTGCGCCGGCAATCGCCGAAGCGCGCCAAAGGTGAGTCTCCGTCAAAATAAATGCGTACGAAGACGGAATTGACGTGGGATCACGACGCTCGCATCAACATATCCCGACCGGATCCATTGACGATCGAGCTCTGATTATTCCTCTTCGGCAGGCTGGAAGCCTTCAGTGTTCAACCCAGGTCAGGACGGTGGCCATCCAGACAGGACCCCTTTCCCCTAACTCCCAGAGCAAACGTGCCGATGAGCCCAACTGTCACGTCGTGACCCCCGAGCAACTGCTCGACCCGCAAAGCACCCCGATCAAGAAAAGCATATACGTCTGCTATCCCAATTATTCTCTGCCTGATCTGTCCTTCCTCAAGGACATCAAGCCGGGTCATGCCGTGGTGTTACAACCTACGGAGATCGGGGTCGCTAAGAAACTTCCTCCGACCCAGACGCCTCCGGTGAGTGATTACTAATTACTAATTACATACATCGGGGTCATCGCCAATAATCCCTATTGGGTTGAGATGGCGTTCTTGGTGTTGGGCCATTGAGCATCGTTTGGCATTTTCCAGGTGAAGGAGCCCCAACACAAGAACGTCGCTGCCGCCGTGGGCACGCCCTCGCGACGGAGAGCTCAAAGCAGTGGGCCGAAGTGCAGACCGAAATCCTACACCGATTGCGAGGCGATGCTGCGCACCGGTGTGGACAGGATTAAGGACTGGGAATCGCTGAGTCTCCTCCTGCCCGAAGATGTCAAAATGATGGTGAAGCAAATCCGTGGAGAAGCTCAACCCGTTCGGATGAGGGACAAGGCCGCCACTCGTCAACCACGGCCTCTACGGATCGATCAGATTCCGAGCGCGGCCACGGGCGCGTACGAGGAGGTTTACATCAGCGGCGGTGCCGGGGTTCACGTCGATGAACGCGACGGTTCTTCCCAGCGAAGACATTCCCTACTCAACTTCCCAAGTCTCACCGGTCTTGTTCCCACTGGACTTGACCTAAACACGATGGCCTCTCCCAACCACACAACGGAACAATCGAACTCGAAGTAAGTGATCTCAGAGGACGACTCGTTGAATCAGCGAAAAATGTTCGTCCTGAGACTCCGAACCCTTGCGGTTCGGCGTCAGAATCCGCTAATACCTAACGCGTTGTGCTTTTCCAGTTCGAGCGGGACGTGCTACTGTCGCGGAGCCAAGAAAGCTGTGAGCTTCAGCGACAATTTGTGTAAAATCCTCACCGGGGACCATCGCACGCCGGCCACGTGCGGATGCAGGAACTTCGCCTTGAATCTGCAGGAATGCGTCACTCCGGGCAGCGTTGCCAGCGGAGGTTCGCGGAACATGCCCTTCAGAGAACACACTCCTCAAGGACTTTCACCGTCTGGCTTCATATCACCGCTGACACATTCGCAACATGAGGTCGTTAACGCGAAACGCCATCTGCTCGACATTGTCTACAACTCGATCCGGCAGGTGGTCGACGCGTACGGAAAAGACAAGGAGCGTGACGCCAAGATGCAATTGTTGTCCGACGAGAGCCTGGCGAGCCGAGAAGTCGTATCCACTCTGGTTCCGGCGGTGGAACGACTGCTGGAAGACGGGCTTCTGCCTCATGTCCGAGGACTGTTCGGCCCGCTGCCCAATTCGAAATGGCATCTCGTCGAATCGATGGTGCAAACGAAAGAAGGTCGCAAAGAGGTCCGCGAACTATTGGACTACATCCACTCCGTGAACGGAGTGCTCGACGAGAACGCCAAGTTCCGCTGCTTCGTTCTGGGCCTGATCAATTTGGGTTGCCTCGATTCGTGGATTACCCTCCTCCTGGCCACCGCGAGTGTTCAACAGAAACACTACCAAAACGCTGCATTCCTCGTGCTCCTGTCGCACTATTCGTTCTTCTTCCTCCAGGAAGAACTTGTATCAAACCTGCGTGTGCTCAGCGAATTGCCGTTCGCCTTCAACTTGAACATGGCCGCAAAACTCCGACCTCATCAGCAAGGAGTCAAGGTGAGCTCATGGGGAATGCCGTCGTGGAATGAAAGTTTTCTTAAATTTTATTTTTTTCATAAGGATTTCATTCGAGTCCAAAATCCATCTTGGCGAATCATCAGCTCATTTTACTCTAATTAATTAATTTAGTTAATTTACGTGCTGTGATCTGTAGTGAATGCTCGAGACGTGAATCCGATATCCGGTCTGAGATAGTGAGAGACTCAGGAGTGAATGCTAGTGTTGATGTCACCCATGTGGAATGCCTTGAAATGGAATTTTTTATCCTTTCGCCAGGAATATATATAATCGTATCTGCTCGGTTCTGTGTTGCTAATGCCGATTTGTGCATGTCTTGCTTGTCCTATAGGAGGTCCGAAGCGTTTCGACGGGGAGGTTGCGATCGCAACCTTGCACCCCTCTCGGTTTCCCCCGATCACCCCCCAAATCAAAAACTGTGACGCTTCCGACTGTCCCGTCTGCGATGCCCACCGCCGCCACTCGACCCTCAAAAGTTGACAGCGTTATGCGACGAACCAAGACCGAAATTTGTCTCCAGGGACGTGCTCGGCCCCTATCCTATCCTGCGGCCTTGAAGAAAGAGCCCGAGCCTCCGAAGAAAGACACCCACAAATTCCGACAACTTCGAAATCAGTGGGAAAAGATGAGCGGAGCCCTGCCGAATCGGCCCTCCGGCGCCGCGGTAGCAGTGAGCGGCAACATTCGGGTGAACCAGGCTGACAACCTCAGGAGTAACCGTCATTCTCAGCCGGCTGCCCGACATTCCCCCGCCCAGAAGGCTCATAGCAGGTAGGAAGCCAAGTTAAACCGATTTTGAGCATTACTAAACGAGTCGATGAATCAGAGGCACGGAACGTCGCGCGACGTCGCATTCTTCGCTCAGAACTTGATCTCGAGTACGTTTGGTTCCGTTGCAGCCCTCATCGGGGAAGTAACGTAAGGAGTCCGGTGAAGAAAAGTTGCCAGTCCGGAGCATCCAGTGTAGCGTCATCTGCATCCACAATGAGAGCCACAGCGAGCAGCGAGAAAGATCCCAGCAGCGTCGTGCTGGTCCGGAAGAGTTTGATCCCCATCCGGGGTTTATCAGCGAAAGGAAGCGGACGGAACAAGTGAAATCTTCCTTAAATCTTTGAACTTTGGAAAAGTATGAGGTGTAGAAGGTGAGCCCGAGCCCGAGTCCTCTCGATTCCCTACCCAAATGTTGCTTAGAATTCTCTTCTCCTTCTAACTATCCGACTATTCAATCTTGATGTTCCCGGGAGTAGCGACCTTCGAACTTTCTCCCCTAGGCCTGAGCGAAGCTAATTTTGCTCTTATGTGAATTCCAGGAAGCGGCCATTGCCATCTCCGTTGCAATTGTTCGACTTATCCACTACTATTTCGCCTCTACGCTTCTACCGTTCGGCGTCAGATCGACGCTGTACGATCTACCCCCAACCTGACGTTAGGCCAGATGATCGAACTCCGCGGGAGCGTGAGGCTCCCCGAACGACAGTTCACGCCCAGAGTTGTACATACTAAACTTGCCTTTCCAGCTCGGAGTTATAACCCTTTGCCTCGACATTGATGTAGTAGATTCGCAGATACACGGATATACCGCGCTTTCTGCTGGACGAAGCATCGAAAATCTTTCTCCCAATTAGTCAGTCTGTCAATCTGTTGACCTTCTAAAAGATGAGCATATATTTTTTACTTTTTATCCACATGAAATTTTGATGTATTCGCGCCTATTCGATGCCCGGTAGCGACCAATTGTTGCAATTCGATTGAATGAATCTCGAATCTCTCAGCCTTTCCCGAAGAATCCGGGAGAGCAATGTCGGAACGAAGTCGTTTCTGTTTTTTCTCTTCTGGAGCCAGAATTCCTCTGCATCGGAATTCTCTCTCCGCTGTAACCGAGAGCCCCTCAGCCACGACGGCTTCGTTCAGCTTCGAGACGGTTCCGGTGGCTGATGTCGTTCCTCTGCGTTCGCCCGGAATGGGGATTCCCTTGGAGAAACGAGGAGAAAAAACTTATGAATTCTTAGATTCAGCGAAAGCACTCATTTACTTTGTTTAGCAATTATAAACAAATCGTTTAAGTGGGCCCGATGTAGATACAAGAACGACGCGCTTTCCGGAGCAAATTGCGGCACCTCCGCAGGTCATCGGGGCGGGGTTCTCCTTTCCTAAAGAAAGTTCGCACCTTCCTAAAGCATTCGCGACGTCTTATCGGAGCAATCATGGTGGCTTCTCTATGTACGTTCGATCGAAGCTTGAAATGCGAGCCAAGCGCTCGGATCCCCGGTGCGTGAAGCGCGCTCGATCGGTGATCTTTGGTCAGACCCGTCGATAGGACCGCAGGCGAGAGCTGCTTCCAAGCACTCCCGAAGGCACGTCGTTCCCCGAGAGATTCGATCGGAATCCTCAGCTGACTTGTTTCTTTTGTGATACCCTAAAAAACTGTCGCCAGCCGCCGTCGGTATTAATCGAAAAACTAGTCGTTCAGAGTCAAGGAAAGATTAAAGCTTACTTAGCAGGCTTCTCGGTGCAATAACTATTGCTGCGTCAGTAGAAAAGAGCAGATACTTTTTATAGTGACAAGGGTTCAAAGAAAGATTCTATCTGAAGAGCTAACAGTATTAGACTCCTCAACATTTCCCCTCGGTGGCTGACGATCAGTTTCAACATGTAGGAATGACATTTACGAACCTCACGAGTACCTCCTTCTGAATATCGGACGAGAAAGACAATAGTCAAAAGAGACGATAAATATGAGCAGGAGAACCGAAATACATATATATCAATGCCTGAAGGTCGCAGTCTCATAAGAGGCGAGATCGCGAGAGAGGCCAGAACTCGGAGTGAAAAAATTGTTTTCCTGATTTTGGGACGGTATATAATCGTATATACTGCTCATTGATCTGTCTTTCCATGTTTCGGAGCGGCCAATCGAGCGATTAAGTGCTCGATGAGACACACTTGGTATTGACGGGAGCTTGTCACAGTCGCAAGCAGGAAAATTTGTTGTTGGGAGCAGAAGCGAATATTGAAGAGGAAATCGAGGTTCGGAACTGTTTGATTCGTTGCCGAGTCTTAGTGATATCCTGGAGAGATCAGGACTCGCATAGATTTATGCAGAATGATATTGATACGACAGAAAATTAACCAAAAAAAAAACAGACAAGACGACGACTATTATTATTGTAAAGCTATATAATGGAACATGAAGCGAATAAACACACTCACCGAGTACAGAAACCTCAGAAGCGTACTGAATAGATCTGGATGGAGCTCGCTACCGGATGCGAAGTTGAAAAAGCTTGGAGTCGATGGTTTTTCGGAAGCCTTGTCCTGATCGCGGGCTTTCCTCGATTCATTTCCGGTGATGGACTTGAGTCGGATCTCGGATCCGTGCTCCGCCGCGGGAGCCCCATGCTCAGAGCGGGGCAACCGGAAACATATCTGCCTCCCGATGGAGGGGTTTCAACGACCTGATTCTTCAGACAGGGAAATTGAAAGAATCGCTCGGCTCTCTTTAAAATAGCTCCTTGACATCAACTTTTTATTCATCGACTTTCACATCGGACAAATCTCTGATTCCATTCGTATCGATCACCACGCATTTGAAGACGGGCATGTTGCCCAAGAATCGTTTCCGAATCTCTTTCACACAGGCCCGAATTAGGGAATGTGCTTCCTCCACTGTCATGTCGGCTCTGAAAGATTGCGAAGACGTCCATAATTAAGCCTTTCGACGATAATACGTCGATCGAGATACTTCGGGGAAATGTTTCCTGGACTCAATTCACCTGTAAGCGGCATCGATGACACCCATGGAGAATATACCGCCGTATCCGTGTGCAGCGAACGGAACCTTAGCGAGACTGCCGAGATAGTCGACCCAATAGAGTTCGGGCTCCTTGCTGTGACTGTCGAATCCACCCAACAACAGGTCACACTGCGAAGAAAGCTAATGAGTTTCTTCTACTCACACTTCTTACACCCACGGTTCCGGGAGAATGGGAATCGGGAGCAAATGCTCGAAGCATGACCTATGAAATATTTCTTACCCTGTACGCATTTCGAGTACGGAGAGAGTCTGCCAAGTTTTTCCGCGTGAAGTTGGCTGCTGCCTTTGGACTGAGGCCGTACCCGTTCCGCATCTTGAACAGCTGGATGTTTTTCGCGATATAATCTGCGAACTGAACAGTGTCGCCGCTTTCTCCCGCGACTGCCATGGCAAGCGAATCACTCAGTTTGAAGATCTTCTGTTCGTCTTGCTTCAAGACCATGATGGAACGAGCCACGGATGCATCGGCAGCCAAGAGCACGAAGTCTCTGCATTTTATGCCGATCAAACTTTCCATGTTGCCTCAATGTTCCGAATCGTCGTACACGAAATTCTGCACCGAAATTCCCGGTGCCGACTTCCTTCTGAATCTCTATGACAAGGCGAAAATAACCAATGTTTACAAAACACGCCGGGCGACAACGCGTAGTCTGCTCCCCGATGCCGCCAGTTGGCTGCGGGCGAATTCAAAAGGGTCGGCCGTAAGACTTTATTCGGAGGTTGGAGGTCGTTTCGGATCGATTGGGAGTTCTGCGCAATCTTCTCGCCGGGGATATCCCCTCCGCTCTTCGGGAGGATTCTGATACTAGTGTTCCTCCGAGAGCTCTCGACCGAATAAACCTGACCATCTCGAGGAACGGTCTAACGTGAGTCGCCTCCGACGGGACATTTGTATCTGGGGAACAAGGGACTATCCGAGGAAGAAGATCTTGGCATGTCTTTTAAAAACCTCTATTTATATGCACAAGGATCTTGAATCTAATTACTAGTCAGACTATTGTAGCAACTTTCCCTAGGTAAAGTCATTAAAGAAATCTATTCGCTTCATGTGGTACAAAACGAATAATGATAATAATAATTATAATCATAATAATCAGTCCGGCGGGCAGATGGAGGGTGAACGGAATGACGGAGTTCCTGCGTGAAATGACCTCCGCGAAATACGAGAACCACCCAATCGCCCCTTGACTCCTCGATAATATAAGTTATTAAGAGTTCCGTCTGAGGGAGAGCGAAAAATTTTCCCGGCTGCTGCGGAGCATACAGCCGAGGATGAATATTGATGAATCTACCTACATATGCATTCTATATACGACATTCTCATATGATTGATGATGTCAGCGGCAGTGCCTTCCGATCGGGGTCTCCCCTCGAAAATTCATTCGACTTCTTCTCCTTTTCTGAATCTTCGGAAATCAGATAGACCTCCAGCTCGAAGAGATTTTCCCCAAGGTTGAGGCCTGATTCCGAAGCTTTGTGGGCGCGAGTTCCAGTAGCCCCTACAAACCGGCTATCGTTTATAAATGGTCCGATCATTGGTCATGGTGGTACCGGTCACGTCATGAGCGACTTGGTGAATGTTTTGAGGCCGATCTCTGTCGCTAGTACTCGGTGAGCTTCCGCACAACTCGTTAGCACGTTCGTTCTCGCGTGGGAGCTTGTGGCCTTCCGTCGATCGGGAAAAAGCTGGGAAGTCGTAGTACAGCCCCTCGCCTCAGCATGCGAAGCGATCCGAATGGAGCTGACAGATGAGCTCTTCCCGCGACCCCTCGGATGAGACCAATGTCTTATGATTTCATTGCAATGTCGAGACACCCCTCAAGGAAGCCAATTAAGTTTCCCAGTGATTCTTCCGAGCAGTCTCTGCGACTCCGCGGATCCCTCAAACAGACGTGGAGTTGTCATGATGTTCCGTTCCAGGAGGAACTCGATGATTGTTCGCTTGTACTCTCGATCTGCCGAGCCTTCGAGGACACTAGTGAGCACGTTATCGATGATGCGGAATATGTTCTCCACCGTCTTCAAGTCGAGGAAGCTGCGAGCTTGGGCATCGCTCATCAGGGTCACTCTCCCGAGCTCGTGGACAGGAAAACGGTCCAGAATAGTTCTGATCAGACCGACATCGATGATTCCGCGGTTATAGCTTTCTTTCGACTTCGCGCTGACGTTTGCGAGAGCTTGTATCAGGGTCGCTAGCGAGTTGGTTTCCCCGTAGCGTATGATTACCTGTGAATTCTCCAGGAATCCGAGCTCGATCGCTTTGGGAATGACTTCGTCGTACTTCGTGCAGACCTCCATGAACCTCGACCACTGTATCATGACGCCGGTCCACTCCGAAAGGACCTCACTGCAGAAGTGCTCGCACTTTCGAATTATCGACTGCAGGACTTCCTGTTGGTCTCGTTCATCGATTACCATTTGGAATTTCGTCATCCATTTAAAAACTTCGCCGTTGGCTTGGGCTTCTTGAAATCCTCTTCTCTGATGGTGCAGTAGCAGACAGTTCCCAGCAGCTTTCTTGAATGCGTTGAAGATTCCCGCGCGGAGCACCGTTTGACAGCGGAACCTTTCGGCGCTGACGTTCACCAGTATTTCGATTGCGGGAATTAACACCTCCTGGTAGTGTAGGAACGAAATGATCTTCGCGAGCATGCTATGTATTCCATTCGAGACAACTGCGTGTTGAGCTTCTGAGAAACGGGTGAGCTCACGGAGAATCTCCAAACATTCGACAACGCTCTCCTGGACCTCGTTCAGAGAAATCGTCAAATCGGAATAATGGCTGTCTGTGATACCTTTCGGGTAAACGGCGAGATCGGTGACGACTTCTCGAAGGAGCTCCAGCACCGTTCTTCGCGAATCCGAATCCGGTGCGGTGCGTACACATGACATCAGCGTAGGAACGAAGCCACATTGTTGGAGTTGACATCTACGGTGCGGATTCCCTTCGACGTAGATCCGGAGCTCTGGCAGAGTCTGATTGTGGATTGTGTGTTGCTCACGACTATCACTGATATCTACGGCAAGCTGATCGAGCTGCGCGCTGCCGAGGCTAGCACGGCGAGCCGTTCGTCTAATCGAAACACTATCGTCAACCGATTCCTGGCGCTGGGGCGAGTTTCCGCGATCGAAGTCCATCTTTTGTGGAACGGTTTTGCCGCACGAGTGTCTTTCGTGTGGACCGACGCAAGACGAGAACAGTTTCAAAACATTTAGTGCATCATGCTGATGATATCGACGTACACATCGGGAGAGCTGCGAGCTTCGGCGTGGGCGTGGGAGCGTTCCCAACCCGCTTCCGGATCCCGCAACAGCCCCAGGAATATTTGCAGGGCACCGAGGAAAACATCAGTGCGCATCATTGCGCGAGAAGGTTACACGGCAGGATGTGGACGTTGTCAGTCGTAGATGGATTCGATAACCCGAAATTTCTCGTGAAAAATTTCGGCCGGAGGAGCACCGGAGGAGTCTGCTCCTCACATCGACATAGGATACACCACCCCTGTAGCATAAGAGTTTTTATTGTTCCGTCCTCTGGTCCGTTTTCCGCGCGAGCTCAAATATTTTCCAATGCCCGAAAAATCTCGGTTAGCGCGCTACCACTGTCTCGAACGAGCGCAAACAGGGAACATCGATGAACCAGAAGCTAATTGCCACATTTTGCGGAGACTTCTTCCATCGCGACGCGGACACTCGAGGGTAAAGTAATCAAATCTCCAAGGGGCGAACCTCCATTCCGAGCGGGGAGCAGCTCGATGAAGGGGACCGAAAAACAACGCTGGCGGTAGCAGAATTCGGGGCTTATCACCTCCAGAAAGTCGCTGGGGACCGGTATATTCCACGCCGACCGGCGTTGAAAGCGGTTAGCATCTGTGCCGGGTATGGCTCGCAGTCTCCGAAATGATGTTTCGGAAGGATGTTCCAGATGTACGTCTCGGGAGGGGAGACGACCGCAGTATTCATTCCTGAAGGGAGCGATCGGCGTACTGCAGTCACCTTCCAGCACTGGATCGGCATAACGTGCGGTCGATGAACTCTCGATTCCGACTTCCCATTTGTGCAACCGGTTGACCGATCCAAACTCCAGAAGATAGCTAGATAACGGCGCGGAAACATTCCAGAAACTTCCAGCTGGTGCGATGTTCACTACAAGGAGTGTCGAAATGGTACTCGAGTCCGATTCGAGAGAGCGCAAAATTCAGCGGGGACTGGTGACGGGCAGCAAATCACACTCAGACGCGGCCCTAGCGACATTCGAGAGCGGGACTCCGACAGCTCACACTTGCTTGCCCGCTTCGGATCAATCTTCTGCAAGTGCGAGTTTGAAAACGTGAATAAAACGGTGCATCGTCTGAAGCGTGTCATTGTTGATATGGGTTGTGATCGGGTTGTGTCAGAAAATCGGCCCAGATCCAGGTGGACCAACATATGTATAATGTCCTTGCTTTCGGCCTGAAGCGGGTCAACGCCCCGCCGGGTAGGGGAGAAGGAGAGTTTAAATACGGAGCGACATATCCTGCAGGGACAGAAGTCCAACTCGTTCGGTGTCAATATGAGAACCACGGTTCTCGTCGTGAGTTTGTTGGCGCTCGCTCTAGCGAGCCGAGCAACTGGTGTTTCTTCGGAGTCGACAACCTCGACGACGAAGCCGATGGCCGGCACTCCGTTGGCTGCCGAGGTGGACGATGAGTCGAGATTCGAGGAGCCCGTGGCTGATGGACACGGTGCGGTCCGGGCGTCGGGCAGAGAGACGGCCCATAAGCCAACCGAACATGATTTACTCATGAAAGGCAAGCAGGAGAACGGGAAGGATAACTCAACTTCGGCGGCACCGAACGGCGCTGACGTGATGGATGGGCAGAAGAAAAACTCTGGAGACTCTATGGAAAGTGAAAAAAAAGCCTCGCCCACGGCTCAACCTCCGGCCGGATCTCAAGTGGAAGACCAAACCCCCAAGACTGTCCCTGACCGTTACTCGAACGCCGTGGAGCCGCTGATCGCCGAGGGACCGTCCACGGGTGGAGCTCCGGTGCGTTCACCGTATTTCAAAGTTCGGGGCGCTTCCAGGCAGTTCGGAGCTGCACCGGAAGTTGAGCCTTTCACACCCGAGCTCTTGCTCGAAGCAAGAGATCAGCACAAGACCTACGAAAAGTGAGTTGATTGAGAATTATATAATTTTTTTCCAATGTCCCTCGTGTCTTCAGTGACTGCAGAACTACAGCTCGGGGAAAGCGACATGGCTCCCTCAGATCTGAACTCACGAGTCCATTGGATTTCAGTTACAAAGTCTACCGGGTAAGAGTCGAATCCCGAAAACAAGAACAGTACTTGTCGTCTTTGGACAACGACTTCCAGCGGAATATTTCACTGTGGGAGGACCCGATAATCGATAGGAACGTCACTCTGATTGCACCACCGCAGAGCGTCAAGAGTTTGGAAGACGAATTCGACGCTCAAACGCTCAAGTACAGCGTGCTCACCGAGAATCTCAAGACTTGGTTGGACGAGGAAAGGGAGAACGTCAATCCAAATTTGTTTCTGGAGCAAAACGACATCGGGAACTTCAAACTCGACACCTACCACACCCTCGATGAGATATCCTCCTACCTGGATCTCCTCGCGATGCAGTATCCCAATTTAGTCAAACCGATCGAACTCGGCCGGACCTACGAGAATAATACTATCAAAGGTGTCGTTCTGTCTACCGGGGGGCAGAAACGAGCGATATATATCGATGCGGGAACCCACGCTCGCGAGTGGATCTCCGTCGCTTCCCTTCTCTATATCCTCAGCAACTTCATATCGAATGGAGATACGGACCCGGAGCTAAAGAGTCTACTTGATCAATTCGAGTTCCATTTCGTGCCCGTGATCAATTCCGACGGCTACAAATACACTTGGAACGGGGATCGGCTTTGGAGGAAAAACCGCGTCCGTTTCCAGGGTTTCTATTGGTGTTCTGGAGTCGATCCCAACAGGAATTTTAATTACTATTGGGGTTCTGAGGGCGCCAGCGCGAATCCCTGCTCGGAAACCTACCGAGGGACCAGGGCGTTCTCCGAGCTTGAGACACGGGCCATCAGGGACTATATCGGTGGTATCAAGGACCGATTGTCGCTGTATCTGAGTTTGCACGCTTACGGTCAGTATCTCCTGCTCCCCTTCGGAACTGGACCTTCGACGCTTAGTTCCGAGAATAAAGTCCAAATGGCCGCCGCGGGAGCTTTCAGAGACGCCATCATGAAGAAGACAGGCCAGACCTACAAGATCGGATCGTCGAAACAAATTCTATGTGAGTACAATTCTAGCATGATACCTAGGATATGTAATACACCGCGAAAGCCGATAATTTCCTCTCAGTCAGTCGACTGATCAGAGGTAAGACTTTCCTCCTCGTTTCAGACGCGGCTTCAGGATTATCAAACGATTGGGTTCACAGCCAGGGTGTGACTCACGCATATGTTGCCGAGCTACGCGATACTGGCTCGCACGGTTTCGTTCTACCACCAGAACAAATCTTGCCCGCGGCTGAGGAAGTTTTCGAGGGTATCAAGGCCCTCATCAAGTTTATCGCCACCAACGATCTCAATACTCAGCGAAGGCAAGCCATCGCCGGTTAGACGCCAGAAACCTTCGCGTCTACTTGTACAGTTCTCACGAAGCTTGACACGAATTCGAGTTTTGCCATAATTTATCGTGATATCCCCGCAAACGACGGGACCGATTTCTAGAGGAGTACCAGAAATGACACAATAAATAAATCATATACATATCGCTTTTTCGAGTTGCAGCCCGGGGAGTTTCTCGGACTCGTTCGTGTAGTTGACAGGGGGGAAATGCGGGATTTCCCAAGGGGAGAGAAATGACTTCATCACGTACCAAGCGATTTATTCCGACTCCGTATCCCCTCAGCATGCTGAACAACAGTAGATCATAACAACGTAACTCAAAATCAGCGGGAAGGTTAAACCTAAATGGGATCGTTTCTTGATTTAAAACGAAATAAAAGGTTCTTCCGCGAGCATCGATCGAATGGGCCAACGATTGAATGTCGGTTTCAAAACCATGAACTGACTGAGAGAAGCCGATGATTGATGCTGTGAAGGAGGCGCTCTAGAGATATTCTGATTATTCTCGAGGAATGGTTCAAGTGAATGATCATGGCGGGCGAATACCGAGCCAGAGGCACTTCAGAAGTCTGTTCCGTACATCTCGCGACCTGCGATCGGGGAAAAAGCTCACATTAGCCGCGCTGCCGTCAAGGGCACCATAGGTACCGGGAGCGATTTTCCCAACCGTGCAGACAGCCTACAGACGACATACGCCCGCACATTCATAAGTACAACGAGGGTATGCACGAGCTATTGAGGTACTCACTTATGTTAGCGGATGTCTGATCGAACATCTGGTTTATCTCATCGAAGAACTTCGAAGTCATGGACAAAGGTCTGTCTTCAGCCCCAGTGGCTCGTGAAGATTTCTGAAACGTTGTCGAAGAGGTGGATTGTCTCGTGACAGGTTGGGGAGTCGGTTGTTGCTGGAAGTTAGATCTTGTCGAAGGGAAGAAGGGCTGATTGCGAATAGGTGCTGAGAGCGGTTCGCTGCGACCGTATTTGAATTGATCCGTGTAGGGATTCGAATAGCTTGGGGTCAGTCCACCGAAATTGAAGGGATCCCTGAACTGCGGACTATCCAGTAATGTTTGATAAGGCGAATCGTAGTACGGTTGCGACTTGAACGAGGATTTCGTCGTAGTTCGTTTCGATTCCCGTCGGAGCGGTAGAGTCTGCGTGCCGTCGCTGTACGACGGAGTTGAATAGCTCGAGTAGGTGGTCGTTTCCTCGAAGCCAGGACCCGACTTGTGCGTCGTGGTCTCCTTGAAACCAGGGCCTGACCTCACGGTCTGTCTCACCGAGGGCGGAGGGGTATAGGTTTTGAAAACAGGATTTACGGTGGACTGATAGAAACTTTCCGAAAACGGCTGTCGATTTTGCGAATCGTTCGCAGCTCGCACAGGAGTGAACGACGGGGGAGGCGGAACGGGTGGTGGTCCGTATGACGAAGTCGAAAAGGGAGCTGGAGGGGGCGGTACCGGAGGAGCCGAAGAACTCGGAGTGTAGACAGGAGGCGGTGGCACGGGGGGTGCGAAAGAGCTTGGCGTGAAAATCGGCGATTGCGCTGCGGACGCCGCGTACGACTTCGGTGTGTACGAGGGAGGAGGCGAGAGCGGGGCTGCGGGCGTGGAAATCGACAACGGTGACAGCGGAGATTCCCGAGGAACTCCTCGTGGAGGCTTGGGCGGAATCGGAGGTGGAACCTTCCGGTACGTGGGAGTCGGTTGCGTGTACAGAGAGCTCTCCGGAGTGTACGAATAGTCAGAGAATGGCGTCGTCGAAGGGCCGTAGGACGACGGCGTGGAGAATTCCGGAGGTGGCGGCGGCAACCCCGGCTCCGCTTGCGAGAGGGGGGCGGCTCTCGGACTGAAAGCTGGACTCGAGCATTCGTCGTCGGACGTCGCCGTGATCGCTTGCAGAACCTTGAAAGAACGCGACGGAATCTTGGATCCAGTGTAGCGGGGGTTGGTCACCGATTCGTCCAATTCCGCTGGATTGTTGCAGTATTCCGTGATATCCTCTGGAATAAAATCGGATCTCTCGCCCGTGAGGGAAACTCTCGTCACAATGGATCGACGAACACACGACACCCGCCCAGAGGGGGGATCACGGAGAAAAAAATTGTGGGATTCGGAAAATTGACTCACGGATGTCGTCGGGCCACAAGGGAGCCTGTTGTCCGTACTCGTTGAGCTCAGGGGAACCTGGACCGCAAACACCGCTGTATCTGAAATGTGCTTCCGGGGAATCATCGAGAATATTTTGGAATTCATCTTCCCGGTTTGAGCTCGCCTTTGGAAAACTTACTCTCCGAGCTGTTTCGCTCTGTTGACCTTCTTCTGGAACTTGGGCGATTTTATTTCAGAGAGGTCGATCCCGGCTGGAGTGTAGGTGAACGGTTTCTTGTCTTTCGAGAGAGTGCTCTGAAGCTTCTCGGGTAAGCGATCGTATTGTGTGAAGGAACCATCGGGTCCAGAGCCGATAGGCGGCTTCGGACTCTGAGGTCCCGAACTCGGAATTTTTATCGGTTGACTGGAAGACGAGGTTTTCTCTTCTTTCTTCTCTTCTTTTGCTCTCTCTTCCCTCCAATTGGGCTTCCACCCCGGCGGTGGAGGCGGAGGGGGAGGTGGGGGAGGTGCCGACATCGCAAGATCACCCTGAATGCAGAAAACTCGAATTGAAATCGATCGATCGTGGCAAGGTTCGTTCTCTCGTACGCAACACTTCAAAGTGAACACCGGGTAAGCCTCTTCACTAACAGCGAGCGCCTGCGTGTTCCCGGTCTTCGCCTACATTTGACCTTGGCCCGGAATTTCCATTAAACAATCGTAACGGAATTTATGCCACGGCAAAGTATGGCGAACACACGAGAGAATTTCGCTCTAGTTCTGAGGACACTCGGTTGAGTTTCCCCGAAAGATCGATGGGGAAAACGCTCGACCGTGACGGAAGGCCCGCTTGTCGATATTCGCCTTTTCCGACATAGGTGCTTATCTCCACCTGAATATGAACTGAGCAGTCATCGAACAAATAGAGCAGAGCATCGGTACCGATATTCAGAAAGCAAAACGATGTTTACACAGTCCCAACTTTTGCTCTATATCCGTGTTGCCTCCTGAGCCCGCGAGACGATTTGCTGTTCTTCCGGCGCGTAGTCGGAGGGTGCTCTCGAATATCACAAGAGCCATCACTAGTTCGCTCGAGACCCTCGCCGTACTCGTTGTTCTCGACGGGAGTAATTCGGATGTACAGGCTCCGGCGATTTGAGTTTTAAATGGGACTGGACACCTCGAGGAAGCCTTGCGGTGTTTATCACTTGAGTCGATCGCTGGGGCCGCCTCATCGGTGGTTGATTCGAACCCTATCACAGTACGGCGGGCGACTTGGAAATTTCATACACACAGGAGACGTCTGAGCTTCCGGCATCTGATGGAGTCTCGAAGGAAACCCACCTCAATGAGCTGCGAAAGCTTTGGATGTTGGTGGCAACGAGGAATGTGAACCGAGCTTTCGTTGGGCGGCACACGTCGGAGACTTGCTAGCTCGGCCGGTGGCTCTTCTGGTGGCCCGACGAACCCAGAGTCTGGCGTGCGCGAACTCTTGCTCACTCACAAGCCAGTCCGTCCGTCCGTTCGTCGAGGTGCCTGCCCGTTCGCCTGTCTGCTTGACTGTCTCTCAAAATTCTCTCACGCGGTGGAGGAGGGTCTGGGAGACCACTTCCTGAATTCGGTAACTAATCGTCAAGTAATACCGGATGAAGTGCCAAATCGCGTCGCGATCATCCTTGTCCGGAAGGTATACCGGTCGGGAAGATTCGATGTATCCCCGAGCGCTCTCGCCAATGCGAGAAAATATTGATTTCGGACAACTTATCGGGGTCCGGTTTCTTCTTCCGAATCCCCACCGGCGGCCGAAGTCGGACGACTTCGAAATTCGCGATCGAATTCCACTCCCCTCCCCCTATTCGATTCCCACGTCAATACGCTCAACGAGAGAAACGTCTGGCAGCACTCACCGTGAATATTAAGCACGCGGAAGAGAATGACGATAATTTTAGAGACAGTGTCGCAACTATTCGGCTCTCAGCGCTCACCACCCACAAGGCCCCGTGACAACGCCTAGAGGGCAGTGGGCCATCTTTTCGGCGTGTAGTACTATGCACCAAGTCCCAGCAAAATTAGAAAGTAATGAGTGTTTACGGAAGACAAACTCATTCTCCGTTCCGGGACCGCTTCCAGAGTCGCCTGATTGGAAAAGCGGGAAGGAAAGCAACGATATGAAACTTATGTGGGATTCTCGCAAGGGAACAAGGTCTTCCTAAAGGGATCGATACGGGGAATGAAAAATTGGAACGTATCCTTTCAGACCCAGCTCATGCTTGCCAGCCGAGCCAAGGGAGCCCTAATTCCGTCCGTCCAGCTTCACCCGTCACCAGCACTCCACAAGCTTCGGTCTCGAGCCCAAGTCAAAGGATTCCAGCGATAGGTATTTTGAGCAATTCGAACGAGCAAAATAAAAGACAAAAGCGAGCAAGGACGAGCTAACGTGTGGATTCTCCAAGCGTGATTCGACCGAAGGCGTTGAGTGATCTTCGCTTGCCGTTCGTGCTTGCGTGGGCGAGCTTCATTGAGATGCAGTCGACTCAACCATTATACCTCTCCTCCAAGAGCTGACTGCAACTCTTGGCAGCTTGCTTCCCGCCTTATCGGGCGGCTGGGTCGTCAGGCTGCTGCCGACGATGGCAAAAAGCAGCCGGCCTGGCAGGGATTCAGGCTCCCAGAAACTGACTTCATGACGGTATCCCGGAGGGAAAGAGGCGCAAGATATTGGCTTTATTGCTGGGAATCACATTCTAACTTTTGCGGCATCCTGGCAACGTCGTTATCTGCGACCACTCCTCCACAGAGACCGCCCGTATGCCGGTGGCTTACGTCGAGCCTTCCTTCCCTCAGTGTTGGATACGATGAGGCCCGATGTGCGCAGGCGCAGATGGAGCGCACTTGTGGCCTTATGAAGAGCGCGCTTCCTCGTGAAGTGTCTTCAGTCCGCATCATCTTCGGCGATGCGCTGAAGTTGGCCGAAGTTGACCGTGCCCGGATTACACCATTAGGAGTGTGGATAAAGGAAGTGGAGTTGAGATGCTGTCTTCGGGCAATTCGAACGCCGCCATCAGACGACGCTTCCAATTCCAGCGAAGAAGATGCTGTTCTACACCTGCCATGGCCTCGTTGGCGGATTTCCCAGACAGCTTCTTCGAAGAGATCAAGGTTCGTATTTCGACAGCTGGCGGACAATATTTTCCACCCGGATGCGTTCTGAGCGATGCGTGAGCAAGTTCTCAGACGGGTCTTTGCGAGAAGAGTATTACCCTGCTCGGAGGAACGGACGCCAGAAACGAGAGCTGCGGATTTATTTTGGTTCAGACAGCGATCAGAATGCCCGACAGCGCTGCTGCTGCTGCTGTTTTCGTCCGACATACGTCATTTGACTTGCAAATTCGTCCAGCCCTGTAAGCATGGTGAGAGGTTTGAATTTACAGAGTAAGATCATTATCCATGACTCGGACAAGGAGGAAGCGAGTTCGGAGGAAAGCAGCTCCCCGTCCAACGAAACCTCTAACGGTGGGTTGCTTGATCTTGATTCGACTCAGTACCTGATCCCATCCAGACGGAGACGCCACGCCAGTGTGCCTTCCACCAGGGTGGCCATGTGCGAGAACGGAGGAAAAATCCTGAGTTCGACCTGCCACGAGAGTGAAAGTACGGAAGGTATTGAGGATATTGTCCGACGTTGTGTCATTCACCAGGAGTCAACAAGCTTCCCGAAGTCAAGGAGTCACCCGAGTCCGTGGATGTGAAATGCTGTTCGTGCCCTGACGGAGCTCCGAGCGAGAACGACGATGAGCTCTGCAACGACGTTTTCTGTGATGAACGTATCCATCAGACCAAGCGAGTCGGTGCCGTCGACACCGCAGGTGAATCAGTGCTCTCAGATCGAGCTGTGAACTCCAATGGGAATCCATCGGCGAAAGCCGTCGTGTTCTCGCTCAGGAATCAGGTTGGAGGTCTCGTTCGGGCACTGCGAGTTTTCAAGGTTGGCTTCTTTCTACGACTTCGTTTACAAACCGCTCCCTCCCCCCTTCGACACCGCCGTTTGGCTGCCTGTCCGAAGGATATGAATGTGTGTGGAGGCTTCGTGACTCATCAACGTAAATCGTGAACTTCCAGGAGAAAAACGTTCATGTGCATCACATCGAATCAAGGAAAAGTAAGCGGAATCCTCAGCAGTACGAAATTTTCGTCTCAGTCGACTGCGACTCCGGCACGATGGGACAATTGGTGCACGGCTTGGAGCATGAAGTCGATTGTGTCGACCTGAAGCACTTCCATGAGAACGACTCTATTTTCGACAATGGCGGGGTGGGTACTGAATTCTCTTGGTTTCCTGTCCTCTGGAAAATGATTCCTCACCGTGGCCTCCAGAGGGTTGATCTCGATGGCGGGAATTCTGACGCATGGTTACCGCTGAACGACTTCTCGAACTCAGGAAACGCCCACATTGCTACCGACGGAGGATGATCCATCCGAAGAAGCCGGTCCAGAGCTATTCGAAGGAATGCCGTGGTTCCCGAGGCGAATCTCCGACCTGGATAAAACCGCTAACCGAGTCCTGATGTACGGGAGGGAGCTCGACGCAGAGCATCCTGGTTTCAAAGACCAGGTTTACCGCAAGAGGAGAATGTTCTACTGTGATCTGGCGATGAATTACAGGAGGTGAGATCCTCGGGAATTACATCCCTATGTGCCCATGGACGACCTCCGGATCCCCTTTCTCTTCAATGGAACACAACGGAGGCTTGCGGGATTTTTTTCTAGTGGCTTTCCGATACCGCGAGTGGACTATACGGAGGAGGAGAAAACTACCTGGAAGTGCATATTCCGCAAGCTGAGCTCTTTGTATGAAACTCACGCCTGCCATGAGTTCCTGGAAAACTTCAATTTGCTCCGCAAATATAAATGGTACAGAGAGGACGACATACCTCAACTCGAGGACGTCAGCAATTTCTTGAAAGGTGAGACGATATTCGGCAGCCGTCTGCGGAAATTCACCCTAGAGTCACAAAATTTTCGGGGTGATGATATTCCGCCGCTAAGAATCCCAAAATTCGCTCCCCCCTCAGACCGAACAGGTTTCACTCTACGCCCCGTGGCTGGGTATCTGTCTGCTCGAGATTTCCTCTCTGGCTTGGCATTCCGCGTTTTCCATTGCACTCAATATATCCGTCACAGCTCGGATCCTTTTTATACCCCTGAGCCGTGAGTATATCGCTGTTGAGTGGGCATGTCAATCAGCCCGATAGACTGCGACTAATTCGCTTCTATCCTCAGCGATTGCTGTCATGAGTTGCTAGGACATTGTCCCTTGTTAGCCGATGCCGCTTTCGCCCAGTTCTCCCAAGAGCTCGGCTTGGCCTCTTTGGGAGCTTCGGACGCCGAGGTGAGCTCCAGTCGAGGAATATATTGTAAGAAAAAAGGTCTTGGGTCAGTGAAGGCGTCCCAGCCTGAAGCTTGAACCGGAATTCGATTCGATCACGACAGGTGGATAAGCTGGCAACGTGCTATTTCTTCACCGTTGAATTCGGTCTCTGCCAGCAAAATGACGAAATGAAAGTCTACGGGGCTGGTCTCCTATCATCAGCATCTGAGCTCGAATACGTAAGCGTCGTCTCCGCACAGCTCATGAGAATCCGAAGTTCAGATTACTTGAGAATAACTTGGCTGAGAGGACGGGGTATACACCTGTACCTGCGGATGAATTTCCCGGCGACGAGCCCCCCTCCCCGATTCTTCTCCGATAATATCCCTTCCCTGCTGCAGGTTCTAACATCCGAAGCGAATATTCTACCTTTCGACCCGAACGTTACCTGTGAGGCTGAGCCTCAGATCACAACATTCCAGAAGATGTATTTCTACACAGACAGTTTCAACGAAGCCAAGCATCAGATGAGGTCGATCCAATTGACCGTCTTTCTCTCGATTTCAATCGGTACCTTGACCGCCGTAAATGCTTGAAAGTGACCGTCTCCTTCCAGAGAGTTCGCCAAGACGATTAAACGGCCCTTCGGACTCCGTTATAACCCGTATACTCAGAGTGTTGAGGTTCTTTCGAACACGCAGCGCATAGCCGGACTCGTCTCTGAACTGAAAGGAGACCTCTGTATCGTGACTAATGCGCTGAGCCGCCTCCGATCCGCTAAAAAGAGGAACAGACGCGGCTCCCACCTCCCCGAGAACGCCGAGAACACCTCGCAGTAAACGGATTCGCAAATTCATCCAAGCCATCAGTGTGTCACACTAGAGTTGAATGAAGGTCAATCGTCAAATCGACGAAATAAATCCGCCTCTATGTTGACTGATAACACAAGATTCCAAACGGACTGATCGAGGAACTAGGTACCACGCATCGTATGAGATCACGTCCGCGCATGAATCCGGGAGTTTGAGACAGGGAATCCCTCCTATGTCTCAAAATCTTCTTACCATCTCATCCGCCCGCTCTTCACTTGAGAGAAACGCGGCGCGTTGATTGAGCCAGTATTCTTATCGGGGTTTGCTAGCTATAGCTGGCTCCAGTATATCCGTGGGGTCCTCGCGAGATCCATTCCCGGTGGTTTTCAGCGACATGACGTAATCTCGCGAGGGGAAGGGGTCAGGATGAGGCTCCCTGCCTGCAAATCTGGCGCCATCGCTCTCAATGGCCCTCTCCCAAAAGAGGCAGAGGGAGAGGACCGCCATAACATTGGAAACCGCTGCGGTTCATGTGTTCGATCGAAAGCACGATTTTCCGGAATTTTTGTGGATGATTTACTTCCAAGTGTCGTGAAGAAGAAGTTCCTCCTTGGAGCTTGACTTGTGTCGCTCATAAAACTCATAGACACCAAATCTCTCTTACCGCGAGTCGAGATGGGGGGGAACAAGTCTCAGAAAAAAGACTTTCAAAAAGTGAAATTGAAGATCGGGCGCACCGTGAATCGTGGCGAGAATTTCACCGATACCAGTTTCAAGAGTAAAAAAATCGCCATCCGAGTCCAATTGAAAGCTGGGCCGAAGGACATCAAGGAGCAGTTCCAGTCTTCGGTGCACAAAATCAACAGCTCCAATACCGGTCTCATCGTGGACGGTGAGGGAATTCATATTCACTCATTCTCGACATGCGTCTTCCGTGGGACTTCACGTTCTACTCCAAGCTCGGAAATTAGCGAATTCGAGCCGACCATGAGAACTTTGCCATATGATTGCTCTCCAAGTAATTGGGTGTCGCTTCCAGGTCTCCAGACTTTGAATCGAATTGTGTCTCAGCTGACTTCCGACAAACGCCAGGCAGTGCTGAAACGTCTAGGCAACCTGACTTCCAACATCGAGATCCAGATCCGCATGGGAGCCGCGACCATCGTGAATAAAATTCTCGAGACTTTCTCCTCCGAGCAGCGAGGAGGTCTCGCAGACCAACTTGTCCTCGGCCTCCAGAGTTGTTTGACCAGTTTGGACTGGGCGGTCAAGGTCGACGGTCTGAACTATTTCGGTATGCTCTTCAGACACATACCCTTCGAGCTTTCGAAAAACTATTCTGTTTTGGAGAATATCATGGATCTCGTCTCCTCGACAAAAGAAGATCTCTCGGGTCGCAAGCTGAACATGGAGCTCAAGTGCAGCAGGAACCATATCAAGCTGTGGAGCGATGTTTGCGACTGCCTTTCGAAAACGATTCAGTTTTTGATGAGAACCTCGCACGGTGAAGGAAAATCGCGGAGGAAGACTTGCAAGGTGAGTAAAAGTTACGCTCTACTCCTCCTAATATTATCGAAGAAGAATCCTCCATCAATGGCTCTGGATCATTCCTTTGGGAAACCGAAATTCATCATATTTTCTCTGTGCAGGGTCTTGTGTCGGTTTATCCGCGGATTCGATGGGTTACGAACAGAGTCAGATCTACCGGACCCGCCATGCAGCTCAAGGGAAACGCGGTCGCGAATGAATTCCTACCGGTCCTCCTCGAGATGTGGTCGGGTGTCGAGAACTTCGAGGTCACATCAGGCAACGAACAAATCAAGCACGACGCCTTCGCGAAAGTGTCACTACTCTTGCTGACCGTCACGGAATGGGCTGATCTTTCTCAAGATACCGATTTCAAAGCACTCCCAGATCAAGCTTTGAATTTTTTCAAGAGCAGATTCCCCTTGGTGTTCGAAAACAACGCTTGCTCAACCGTGAATCTCCGGATCGCAAAATTCCTCATTACGATTCACGGGGGGAAGAATCTTGCCTTGAACAAAACTCTCTTTTTCGAGTTGAGAGGGAGCCCCATTCCGAGCGATACCAAACTGCTGCTGGATGTGGCCGCGCGAGCCATGAACGACACGCCACAAGTCCTGCAGTACGTGAACTCTCTGTTCTTCACGAAAAAGGCTCAACAACGGAGGCCGTTCTATAGTTTCTATCTGAAAGCCTGCGATGATATAGTTGGCGATTTCCATCTGAATCAGATGCTCCTGAAAATGCCGGCATTCATCTCTAAAATAATCCTTCAGTATCCCACGATGTGTTCCGACGAGGTTTCTCTCCTCGAGAGTCTCCATTCGCTCATGCTACCAGCGTATCTCGAAGGTATTGGATCGCTCTCTCTCTCAACTCTGGAACAAATTCTGCGTACAACCCACCAGCAAAGTCGTCTCGCGCTTCGGCTCGTCCTTGATCAAGATAAATTGCGAGGGGACCACCTGAAAATAATCTTGGACTTCTGGAACGAAGGGAACTTGACCCCCGACGATATGCTTTTCGTCGTCGGACACCTATTCTGGAAGCTCGACGAGGCGTGGGCGAACCTCCTCCGGGAGCCTGACAATAATATCGCCGCCGCTATCCACATTCAACTCGTGAATCTGATCTCGGAGTTCTGCATGAGTGTCTATCTGGACCTCGACGAGAACCAGCGACCGCGCTCCGCGGGCGTTCACATTCTACAGCCCAAGATGCAATATTTCCAGATGCTCCACAAAACCAGTCTCCAGCTGAAAAGCGTAAATAGACCGCTGCATTTGATGTATGTTTCTATGCGACACATGCTCCTCGTGAATGACAAGGTACGACAACGTATTATCGACCTGCTCTGGGCTGTTCTGCAGGCGTGGGAGGACTGCGGGAACACCGTTGGGATGACCACCGTAACATTGATCAATGTTCTCGTATTGATACGAGAACTGGAAGTGTTAGGGGAAGACATCATCGACTCGCTCGACAAGCTGATCAACCAGCTCATGGTCGCGCACTTCCTCGTAAACTCCACCGATCGAGATGTTCTGGCTGCGTGCATTGATTACTATCGAGTTTACGGGACATCTTCGTTCATGCAGGATTTGGATGAAGCAATGAAAGCGAACTCCGAAGACTGTGATGACCAGCTCCAGGCGGCTTTTGGGAAGAGCGCGAAAGTACTCCGAGATTTGAAACTTCTCACAATCGATGAGCTTCACCAGGATCACATCGAAGACGCTGTGAGACTGGTCGAGGAAGAAGTCATGGAGGAGGATGCTAACTCAACAGATTTTTTGAGTCTGGCTTAAGAAGCCGATGATTTCATCGTTTACTGAGATGGATCGGTACAGTCTCTACCGAGTAGTACCGTTGGGGAGGAGGAGCCCCCCTCTCTCGGTGCCAGCCCGCTCAGTGTTGGAATCCCAACTGATGTTTCTATTCGATTTGTATAGAAGAAGGAAGCAAACGATTCCTCGTGTAGAATTCCCAAAACATGTACAGGCATCGTTGAGTCTGTTCGCGTCAGCGATCAACATTGATGTTAAGAATAAATACCCGACTTTGGTTGTGTTATCCCGGCGTAGATAAACTATGTTTTGGTTTTTAATTCATAAATGCTTGAATACATTCAACAAGAGTTTATGGATCTCGTCGAAGTGTGGTCGTCGTTCCGGAGTGTATTCCCAACATCTCAATGTGAGTTGATATACCTGAAGTCGGGACAGAGAGCAATGATCAGATCGATGTTTGATTTTCGCTCAATCACATAGCATCGGTTTGAGGCGACGGGACGAGCGATCATGAGCGACCGACATCGCTCGTGGTTCGAACTTACTGGAGATGGTATTCGTTCGGGCGCGGGAAGCCTGTACCCTTGATCAATTTTCTCCCGAGCTTTCGTATTCGATAAGCCCGCGTATGGTGCTTGGCCGAGCGAGAAAATCTCCCAAATGAGCACGCCGAAACTCCACACGTCGCACATTGAAGTATACTTCCCGTAGTGGAGAGCCTCCGGAGCTGTCCATTTAATTGGTATCTGAAGAATCGAGGAGTTTTTAATCTTCCGGAATCGAATCTGCCGGTCAGTCATGATTGGTATGATTATCGAGTGTCAAAACGGAAAAAAATCATGGACTGCCGTTTACCTGCTTCATCCCGTCCGACACTACGTATTCCTGTTCTTCTCGACTCATGCCGAAATCTGAGATCTTGACTTCGTCATTAAGTCCGACGAGACAATTCCTCGCGGCGAGATCTCTGTGTATGCATCCTTTTGATTCGAGGTATGCCATACCGGCGGCGCAGTCCAAACACATACTGACGAGGGTCCGCGTAGGCAGTCGCTGACCGTCCCGTCGCAGGTAGTTCAGCAATGAACCTCCTGCGGATAGAACTTCGATGAATTCCTGATCCGATATCGATTCTCTGACCCTTGCAAGCCGGATCACTCTGCTGACCTGGGACGAGTTCCATCACGATCATTATCGGTTGTTTTTGTACACAAATGCCGACTAGGCGGACAATATTCGGATGATCGTATTGTTTCAAAATGCGACCTTCGCTCAGAAACTTCTTCTTCTGCTCCTCTGGGAGATTGACTCGGCACGTTTTGACCGCGACGTTCATTCTCTTTGGATGCAATATCGCCCGATATACATCTCCGAAGTTACCCTGCGGATAAGGGAATATTCTGTTGGGAAGGAATTCAAGATCCGAGCTCAACATTCGAAACACAAACGGGCTGTAGACTGTAGACACGGATTCTCGACGCAGGTTCGCTGGACTCACTCGGCCAATTTTCTCGATGAGTTGGACGTCATCATTATTCAGCTCCCATCTCTCCCTGAATATTGGATTATACAAAATGGCCCCGGATTTGATTGTGACGGGCAGCTCTGAATGATGTTGGTAGACTATGAGTTCCTGTATGGTATCGAACGCCGATCCCTCGAAGCGAAACTTGTGCTGCAACCAAACACGAGGGGTTCGGCTCCATGATTCAATCCGCATCAAGTGAACGACTCGATAGATTGGCGATAAAGGGCGACAAAGAAATCCTTTCCGTACCTCGGGAGTCTGTTGGATGATGAAGTGTTTGTGTCCATTCCACTTGACCGACAAGACAATCTGTCTTTCTTCATTGCGGGTTGTCTCTCGCACGAGATAGTCTCCCTCGTTGACGAGGAGCCGCACAACTTCCTCTCGCGGCAGAACCCCATGAAACCACTCCTCGTCTTGGAGAGCGATATTAGGATTCACAGTCATCTGGGGAGAATGTTTTCAAATTCCGATAATTCCATCGAGCCCCATTCGGGGTTTCTATGCGGATGTTATTCGATGCGAGGGCCATGACGAGAGCCATGACCATAATGCGACGTGGACGAAATTTTTTCCGATCAACATCCGGAGCCAGAATCATCACGACTCCGGCTCCGCTGTGTCATTCATGAAGTACGATCTATTCCCCTAATCAGCATAAATGAGAGCCAAAATGGATGGATACCTTGTAACTGCTAGTTAAATCCTCCGCGTCGGTGTCGTTAGGGGAGATTGGACTAGAGCGATTATTGATTCCTAAAATTCGAATCTCCTTCTGTGCCTGGGGGTTATTTTGACGTGCTGTTAGACCGGTAGACACAAATGGCGGCAATAATACCCTCCGCGCGTTAATAAATCATATGTAGCTGCTCTCGAAGGATGTCCAAGAATACGGAGTCTGCGGTCATACGGAAGACCTCAAAGTCTTCGTATAACTCGTCCCTAGGTCTCACTAACGATAAGTTGTCTTTGTCCGGACTCGGAAAACTGTCGAGCTGATGTTCGGAGAATTTCTCTCGGAGCCGAAATTAAGCGTGAGGACATACCTCCTTTTTCTGGAACGGTCGACTGAATCTCTCCACGATTCCGCGGGCCGAAAATCGTCCTGGGGACAGGTTGAGGGATTCCTGTGATGTCGAGGAAACGGCGGAGGGACTGGGGGCCTCCGCGATGTTCAAAGCTCGCGGAGCATTGTTCGGATCCACTTCGGATAGAGCCCCCACGAGAAGGGCGAGCTGATAGGAAAGACGATCGTAAAGGCATTTCATCTCGTCTCGGTCCCGCTTCACATGGTCAACCGCCCGTCGCTTCGCGAGCTCGCTGCAATCGGAAAGGCAGAGTGAAAAAAAGCGGAAAAATACGAATTCCGAATATTAACGGTCCCTTGAATCTGTGACACTAATCTGTGGCAGTGTTCTATACGCACTAATTTGTTTCGGTGCCATGAGATGAATAGTCGGGAATCGAGTTTCTCTGATTCTCGATCTGTCGGAGTAGGTTCTCTTTTTCCTGAACCTCGTCGCGCGCCGTCACCATCCGCTTCTCGATTTCGGAAACTCTATAAAAGGGAGAAAGATTCAGGACGATCCGAACGCGACATTGATAAGTGTTCCCTCAGCGCTGCTTTGTGACCCTCTCCCATCGGATTTCGCGTTTGTTCGGATGCGAGGAATGAGTTCGAGATTACCTGTTGCGCACGTCATGAATGGTGAGATCATCGACCGCTATTCGGTCGGGACGCAGGGTTCCTTCGTACTTTCCCAACTGAGTGTTTTGCAACGGTGAAGGAATCGCGAAATCCATCCATTGTGGGGGATTCGAGCGGTGCTCATCCAAGAACGCTTTGTACTCCTTATCGGGATCAATGATTGATAACGCGTAGCTGAGTTTGCCGTGCGTTGCTTGGAATCCCTCTGCGCAGAAATCTATTCGCTCGACAACTTCCCGCATAACTCCCTGCCTGGAACCGATTTTGGGTTGAAGGTTTTCATCAGACGGTGTTCGATTCGATGAGACATTCAAGAGCACTTTTGGGAATATTCGCGTACGAATATTTGCTCATCTCCGAGATTTTAGAGTACTCGATGCTTGTCTCAGAACGTTGTTCTTAAAATCAGCAGCGCTCAATAATCTTACCAGGTCTCGAGCGCTTCTCGGAGTGCCGATTCCTGACACTCCAGTAGATCCGGTAACAAGATGGTCCGCAAATGTTTCTCATACTGCATCGCTTCGTTCAGCATTAATACATATTCGTTGTGCACCTGCAACCCGATGGCTTCTGCTGTGAATTTTAGCGGAGGCGGCACTCAGCGTTGGTCTCGCGAATTACGTTGTGTGAAGGTCGGACCTCGAGCCTCAAAGGTCAACGTCGGGCGAGGAATTATCTAGAGGCATTCCAACTTCCTGAATTTCGAATGATAAGTATTCGACCAAACGAGAATTACGCGACGGCAGCCAACTCGAATCGGATTCCGCGCGGGAAATCATGGGAATTGGAGTAGACACTCGCTGAACGATAACACCTCGCATTCATAGGAACAAATATTACTCCCCGTAGGGGGATAAAAGCGGATCGCTGCGGTGGGTCCTCGGAGTCGATATGCGTTGCGATCGAAAATTCTCCTGCGGGTTCCACTGACCTGATGAAGCCTCCTGGAGTTCTTGAAGAAACGGTCCTTGAGGTCATCCAACTTGCGAGGTTTCGCGGCTGCTGACTCGTTTTTAGATAGAGCTTCTTCATACTTGACTCGAGACTCGTTGGCTGCCTCGACACACCTCTCGTACTCGGCTTTGATTCGGAATACGTCTTCTCGGAGCTGCAACGAATCCATGATCAATGATGACGTCATACTACCGGGTGGACCCCGGTTCCGAGTCACCTCGACCGTATTGTTCAGACTTGACTAAATGATGCACCATGCGTATAGGTCCCGGACAACTCCAAGCAAATATCAATTCGCAGACGTTTACCCTCGTCAGCTCATCGTGTATCCGATGGTGTTCCTCCGTGTAGACTTTCCGAAGGGCTTTTTTCTCGAGTATCAAATTTGTGATGCTTTCGAGTGTGTTTGTTGCGAGGAAATCTGCGTTCTGTCTTACTACCCTACCGATGGTCTCTGTGGTTTCTACGACGGTATCCCATGCCTGTGAAGTCGATTCGAAAGAGAGTTTGAATGGTTTTAGTTCCGCAAGCTCCACGTTGATCCTCAGAAGAATATAAGACACGCTCAGCAGAGTTTCCTGTATCGCACTTGTTTGATCAAACTCCCTCGAAGTTCCTCTGTGCTGCTCTCGAGTCTTCCCGCCTGTGCGAACATCGAGGTCATGGCGAGGGAGTACTCTCGATCGGCTTTGACTTTGATTTGGACACATCGTCTAATATGCTCTAAGAGCTCGATTTCGGCGTCCTGTACGTTGAGCAGCGCATCGTGGCTTTGGAACCCTTGCAAGTCGTTCGCAAAGCCCATCGCTAGGCTCCTGGAAGAAAATTGAAACGAAATCAGGTCGGCTGTCCGTCAGTCCCTTCCTGAAAACAGATGGCGGCGTTTGTTTTGAATCTCCATCGATTAGGCCAATGATAACTCTCCCGGCCTCCTGATCCACGAGAGAAGTCGAGAGGAGCTCCATGGCCATGGATTCGCGGTCCGGTAATCTCATCTCATAGATTCTATCCCCGAATATCAACTCCGGCCGTAGATGATTTCTTCTCGGTTCCGAATAGCAGAACCCTTCACTTTCCACACTGTCGGTGTTCGCAACGGTACAATAACCCGGACATTCGACCGTGAGAAGCATGTCTGAATATGGACCTTGATATTTACAGAAAAAAACCCGCGAAGACAGACGAGAATCCAAACACACAAAAGCCGAAGAAGACTCGGTCCGCTCCGTACTCCACGGGTGGCTGATTCTGGGTTAGCTACGGAACAGCGAAGCGTGCACAGTCGACTCGCCGAAAGGCACTGATTGTTACAGAGACATGACTTCACCGACGCTCCCTATTCTCAGGCGCACGCTCACTCCCCACTCGGAGCCCCCTCTGCCCGCTGAATTTTCCCTTGCGGGCCGAATCTCAGAGTGTCTGCAGACCGGATTATTTAGCGGGGATTCTCCGTTTGACGACGATGACACCGGCGTCGTCCCCTCCTCAGCTGACGAGGTATCTAAGGCACGATTCGGCGGGGGTTCCCTTTCGTGGAATCCCAAGGACCGAGAGAAGCCCGGAAGCTTGGATTCCATCGGATTCGCGTCGAGTTTCCTCGAGCTCGGATAATTCGGAGGAGGAGTCCCTCTCGACGGGGCCGATCTGCTTTTCGGCTTCCGAGCTCGATTCAGGGCGCGATGCATAGATGATTAGCCATGTGGCCACGGTGCTATCAGCGTGGGCCAGCGGAACCACTCATGGGACTCGAGCTGCTCACGAGCAGGCTGCCCGAGCGGACCTCTAATCGCACGGGCAGCCTGCACCGTATGCACCTTATCCTGCTCCCATCTACTTTCGCATGCAATTACAGAATGCATGCACGGAACGCCGGCACTAGGGTGCGTGCTTGCTCCTAGCGTGTTCGGTTCGTTTCAATCTCGCCGTTCGTCCGTTCCGCCGCTCTATCGGTCGTTCTTCCGTTTGTCCATTCTTCCACGTACCCATCTATCCGTTTATCCACTTTACGGTGTTCGAGCTAGTCATTTGGTGCTTGATCAGAGTTCAGCACTTTATCCAGTGATCCGCGCTGGTCTTCAGTATTAATAGCCGGTGGCAAGACAAGTGCGGAAGGCTTTCGCGGGAAAAGCAGATTAAACAACTTGTGCTCATGAGACGAATGTTCTAAACGGACTAAGAGGTCAATCAGGCTTTTTCCCCGCTTTGACCCAGCTCGACGCGCGGAGAGATCACAATCGGTTTTTCGGATTTGTGATTTTAATAAAACCAGAGTAAACCCCGAACGCTTCGGCACTCAGCCGGGCGTGAAGTCAAACTATGGACGATATGGGTCCAACGACCACGACGACGCGTACGTGATATTCGATAGCACAAAGAACACTGGTAGAAACGGTCAGGTAACGGAAGGCTCGCATGGTGCCCGTATAGCCCACTTCCTGGATCGAGGCGGACCTCACTCAAGATCTCCGTTGAGCCGATGTCTCCAGCTGATTTGTGTTTGTTTTTTGGCTATTCGATTCCGGCATCGATATATATTCTTGAGGAATTTCCCTCGGTTTCCCTACACGGCTACAAATCTGATTTTCGCATTATATCATAAGACGCGGATAATGCGGCGGAAAGCAGAGATGATGCTCCGTGTTCTTCTAGAAGCGACGCCGAAGAGAGGAGAGACGCGCGCTTTTGAACTATCACGTTTTACACGGTCGAGTTGCTTCTGTCGAGACGCTCCGGATCGGCTGCGGCTAAGCTAAATTTCTGAAACGTTCCCGAACCAGCAGGAACGGCCGTCCGGAGAGAAGAAACAGCGCTCTTTTTTTCGGTATTGCTTGTAATGCGGGAAAGACCTCTTCGAAAAAAAACCTCGCTGCTCCCTGACGTTTTGAGCCCTCGGGGGCGTCGCTGACCCGCCAGATATAAATAGAAATGCCGGAGCGTTTCAGAGTCTTCAAGCTCCGGGTCTGCTTGTTCCGAATTCCATGCGTTAAATTCTGGAACTTCCGAATTATTACCGTCTCAGAATTCTCGATGAGAACTCGGAATGAGGGAGGCAATGTGGGAACAATCAATTCGAGTTCCTCCCTCCGAACATCGCTGCTCGCGGGGTGGCCGGCCGAGCCCCAGAGCAATTTTCGTCAGAAGAAGTTTTGTAACTCGGGTCCTTGGTGCCGTCGCATCGCTGCTTCCAATACGACCGCTTCTATTGAAGTTGTAGTCGGTGCCAGTTGTCACGCAGATATGATGAATCGAAGTCGAATGATTGTGAACGAATGAGGAAAAAATACCGAGGGACCCATGCCGCAACGGAATCCGTTCTTGTTAGCGCTTTCGTCACCGCTGCCGCGGGATGAAGAGGCGAAGACTGGATCGCTTCGCGGATCGATCGGGAAGAAATCCAATAAAGAATCTCATCGCTGATCACATCACGACCACTCCTAGTATGTGGATCAGGAGCAGCTCTGCTTCATTTTAGATAATAATTTTCGACACGACAAAATTCGTAATTTGACCATGATATCTGAGCATGTCCGGTGTCTGTGTTCGTTGACAGGTCAGACCGGTGATGGGAAGCGGAATCAAGTGAGAAATAAAGGGCGCTCTGCTAAACTCCACAGAATCAACGCCGGTCAAATAACAATCAGAAGAGCGATGCACAGTGATGGAGAAAACAGCGCTACACAGGGACGAATGAAGAACGGGAAAAACGAGGAATGACCCGGAGCAGCTGGAAAAGCGCTACCGTTGTGGCTGCGGGAGCCGCTCTTGACAATAGAGTCGAGTGGAAGCAAAAGAAATGGAAGCGTCGGCGGGGAATTTTTGTCAAGAATACGACTTGTCGCTCAGCTTGACTTTTTTTTCCCTAAAAGCTCACCGAGAAACCAGGCGGGCATCGCTAATTGTCGCTAAGAACACGGAAAGCGAAGGAAACAAGGGTTGCTAAGATGGTTTGCCGTTCCAATCTTTTTCGTGTTTCACGCCGCGTCTATTTCCCCAAAACTTACGATGTCACCACCATCGGTCGTCCATAGCGTCAACCGCTGGCTGCCTGCTTGGTATTTCTTCCAGAAGAGGAAGGAGAGGAAGAAAACGCTTCGGCAGTCAGACTCTCGTAGGTCAGCGGCTTACAGCTGACAAAAAGCTGACAAGTGCTTTTTGAGTCCATCTTGTTTAGACGTGATGCCTGCTGCTGTTGGCTAGTTAAGCTGGCTTGCGATGCTACCAGGATGGCAATGGAAATATTTGAACCTGAACGAATTCTTCTCTTGCTCATCACTTGGCGACAGGGCGGTTCTCGGGAAATCGTTATGCCGAGAGAAAGAAACAAATAGAAAGAAAAAATCACTTGACAACCGACTACACAACAAGCCATCGAGTCATCTACCGCCCAGCTGAAGCCGTCCGCAGCCGTTAACAAAGCGAAGCCCAAGGCGTGTTTCTAAATTACTCCGCGGAGAAGATCAGATAGTCTAGTTGGGACCTGAATGGCCAAGTGTGCGATACCGTTCTCCGTCCGAGAGTTTGGCCATCCCGAAACTGTGCGAATTTAGATGGCGGCACGAAAACGTTCATCTGCAGGACGATCGAAGAGCTGGGTGAAATTCGTCGAATGTGTCAACACGGTATTTTTAGTTCGTATTCTTTTGTTCTTCGAACGAGAGAGCGAGGGGCGTATTCACAAACTCTCGGCTTGTGTGTGTGATTCCCAATTAGCCGGTCCCGAAAATTCGTTTGGACATGGATTCGTCATCACTATGGCAAGGTTTCGAGACCCGTCACGAATCGCCGCGATGGGTCGACTGTGTCGCGCCGCGTGAAGTTCGTGAACGACTTCTAATCGTTCGTTATTTTCTTCCGAAGAACACGTACGTCGAAATCCTTGTTTCCGGTCGCACTGATCAAGTTCTCGATGCTGCTCACAAATACTATCCTCTCCAGTACGCCTTCGGGTCTGATATTACCATTACTATTATTAATACTGTCAAGAGGTCGATTGTGACGCGGCCACGCATCGTCGCCAGGAAACGGGACAACACGGCCGAGCGACCGGCCCGCTAACTGTCGTCATCGCTGAAGATCACGTTGTCCGATAGACCAAGTGAATTTGTCTTGTTGTAGTGGGAAGGATTTGTTTGCCAGCGGCGGGCGAGAGTCATGAAGCGTTAGAATCGAATAGCACCTTGCGGCTTTTCCGATAAAAAGGGCTCCGACACTAACGGACGTAAGGCTTACTTAGAGAAATAGGCCTTCAATTTTTTTTTCGGCAAGTCCGCTCGCATGGCTCCATGCGCTTTACGCTCGCGCTGAAATCATGAGCATTGAATGGAGCAAGAGAACGAAAAATTGGTTTCGAGACTGGTGATGCTCACTTCCCTGAGACTACTCATTGTCCGTGGTGGAGCTTGGAGCACCAATGAATGATAATTTGTCAGAATGAGCTCGAATCGGTCGGATCCGTAGCGAAAATCATCATCTTCCCCCGAACGATCTGATCGGATCGATATATCCGATGAACTCTCTCGATGAATTTCGTTTACACCCCGGAGTGGCGCTGGAAGCGGGGATATCCGCGCGGCAGGACAGTCGCCATCCCCCGATTGCGCTTTGAACGATTTATTCATGGAGATATTCAATCCTGCGCTCCTTCATCAACGTAATTTATGGGTCGGTAGCCGTTTAGCTGGTCTGGCTCGACGGGTTCACCAATCATTTCATGAGGCGGTGGAGAACACCCTGTTTGGACTAGATAATTAGGAGTGACAGTATCGTCGTGCGCAAAGAACCCTTGCGGGGAATCGCGATCGGATG